GGCAATATGTTTAGTGTTTGGGGATGAGAAGTTTGGGACTAGAGAAGAAGAAAACTCAAGAGAACTGAGATCAAGGGATTTAGATGCTAGGAAAGACTGTTGAAGCTTCTGATGTCAAGGGATTGATTAATTTGTAAGAGACTTACAAAACAACCTGCACATGTTTCTCTGTCGCAGCATCCTGCACCAGGCAGCTGGAAGCCTTCTGTAGAGCACCTCAGGGGTAGAAGAAATATTGAAGTCCTTTCCCTTCCACATAGGTGAAAGAAGAAGAAGGAGAAATTTGAAGCCCTGGAAAACTCACCTCTTAGGCATCTCAGTACAAAGATAGAAAACAAGATAAAAAGCATTTTTTCCTTGTGAAATGCTTGCAGAGTACTCCTTTCTCCTCAGGGAGAGGAAGGGGAAGGAGCTTCTTTAGGTCAAGACATTCAGGAAGGCCTGTGGGGTGGCTTATGCCTGTAATCCTAGCACACTAAAAGGCCCACGTGGGAGTATTTCTTGAGGTCAGGAGTTCGAGACCAGCCTGAGCAAGATCCTATCTCTACTAAAGATAGAAAAAATTGGCCAGGCAACTAAAAATAGAAACAAACAAGTAGCCGCACATGGTGATACATGCCTGTAGTCCCAACTACTTGGGAGGCTGAGGCAGGAGATTGCTTGAACCCAGGAGTCTGAGGTTGCTGTGAGCTAGGCTGACACCATGGCACTCTAGCCCGGACAATAGAGTGAGACTCTGTCTCAAAGAAAAAAAAAAAAAGACATTCAGGGAGAAGAGGGAGACTTGAATGGAAAGAAATGATTCTACTTCAGATGCTGGATGTGACTCTAGCCCCAAAAGAGAGGAAGGAGGCCAGGAGTTGTCTGAATGAAAGATGATCCAGTCCCCAAGAAAAGCGAGGACAAACAGATCGCAAAGGAAAACCCAGAGTTAGGAAGCAAGATGCACGGACTACAGTCTAGGAAAAGGGCTCTGACACCTGGTACTCCCACTTTATCACTGTGGCCACTTTGTTTATAACTGGAAACCCAGGTAACAGCCAAAAGATGGGGCTACCTGGTGAAGGGCAAGCTGCAGAAATAGCCTGTCAACAGGTAGGTCTATATACTCAGATATATCCATCTGTAGATGCGTTTTATTTATTTTTCTTCTGCTGTTTTTTTTTTGGGTTTTTTTGATACAGAATCTTGCTCTGTTTCCCAGGCAAAAGTGCCGTGGTGTCAACCTTGCTCACAGCCAACCTCAAACTCCTGGGCTCAAGCAATCCTCCTGCCTTAGCCTCCCCAGTAGCTGGGACTACAGGCGTGTACCACCACAGCCCAGCTAAACTTTTCTATTTTTAGTATAGACGGGGCCTCACTCTTGCTCAGGCTGGTCTCGAACTCCTGTGTTCAGGAGATCCTCCCGCTTTGGCCTCCCAGAGTGCTAGGATTACAGGCGTGAACCACTATGCTCCGCCATGTGTTTTATTTAGAACTGTAAGGACACCTATCCACTATTACCCGGCTCCTGGGCAGGGGAGGGGTGGGGCAGCTCTCACTGTGACTTCCTTTGTATCTTAGTGAATCCTTTACATGGAGAATATAGTCACTTACTTATGAAATAATAAACAAGAGAGAGAGACACCCATACAAATCACAAAAGAAGGCACCAAAACCAAGTTCTAACACCTCCCAGGCACCTCCTAACTTCCTCCCCTCCCACTAATATGCTTGCTCTGGAGAAGGGAGAAAGGCTAGTCATTTAATTAAAATGTAAAATACTTTCTTTTCTTCTCTCTTTTTTTTTTTGAACTGCCTGGCGGCTAGGGATTTTGTGCTGACTCAGCAGTGAATAATCAGCTTTGACCTGAATAATAGAATAACTCAAAGTGGCAGCTGCAGTTGCATAAGCACGATCCAAATCTGCAGTTCCTTCTCTCTCCTTCTCCTCTCCCCTACCCCCTCCAGGCTCTGGGCAGGCAAGCCAGTTACAGCAGGTTCTTTCCGCCTCTCCACCCCCACCATCTGGCTCATCCCAACTTTATTTCTCATCAGATCTCTTCCAAAACAGCCCCACCACAGAACCAGCCTTGACCTCACCTCCTCCCTCTTGCAGCAAACCCTCACTAGGAGCTTTGCCACTCTGGCCCTCCCTGCTGGGCCCTGCACCCTGTTCTCCAGCGCCCTCCCCTATATACCATCGACCTCTCCACTGAGGGTGGCTGTCCTCACAGCTTCTCGTGGCACAGTGGATCAAGCCCGTTATCAGCATGACAAAATGAGACAGCAGAAAGCAGAGTTTCCCATGGAAATATACATTCATGGCAGACCCAAGCTCTCTACTGCTTTTCTCAGGAGTACGGCTAGGCTGGGCCACTCTTGGCTCTGCCGCCAAGGAATGCTGGGCCTATTTTATGCAATTGGCTTGCCTGGCACCTGCTATGAGGATGGGGTGGGCTGGATGATGGTGCGGGTGGGGGGATGGGCAGGTGATGCTGGAATAAAACATATCAGCATTTAATGAAAGACAGCATCCACCAAGCCTTCCTGACAACCTGCTTTCTGTTTTACTGGATACCTCAAGAGATGATTTGAGGGGTCTGTTGAAGTGGTATTCAACAAACCAGAAAATAAAACCTCTGTACATAGACTCAAAGCAGCTGGGAGTGTCTGGCTTAAGGAAGAGGAGAGAGGAAGTGTGTGTGTGTACGTGTGCACCCTGCCGGGGCATGCAGTGGGGGCTCCACAAGGCCTTCCCAGCTAGGAGGAAAGGACACTGCAGGGGGTAGGGGGTGCTGAGCTGGCTTCCATTTCCTCTAAAGAAAATAAGGAAGAATAAGCTTGGGAATAAGAAGGGTTTTAAAACATTTTTCTGCTTATGAAGTTAAAAAAATACTTGAACACATATCTCAGGGACATTGAAAAATTCCTGTCTTTGGAGAATAAGATTGACTACTGTTAAGTTGGAGATAATTTCCTTGTAGGTCTACTTAGGAGGCAGAGGACAGACCAGATAACCTTTACTGGATCTTTGACAGCAGAGATGGGGGGCTGGAGGAATGCTTATCATTTTTGTTATCAGCCAGAGTGCCTAAATTTCCCCTTGGCTTGGTGCCAACAGTGTCTAAGTGAGGGGTAGACTGCAGACATGACTGTGTGCAACCTGTCTTTCTGGAGCTGGGCTTACAAGCAGGCGCCATTCTTATCTCCTGGGAGGGTTTGGACCTTTCTGGTCTGAGGGGAGGCCCATGGGCCACACTACTCTGGAGGATCTTTGTGCGAGGGTTCAAACTCTTAGCAGGTTTGGGGAATACAAAGGAAGCCATGGGGTCTAGCCCCCCAGAGAACTCCACCCTGTGGCCTGGCTCCTCTCCTAGGGAAGGGCATGAACAGCCTCAGGGTTCTTGATTTCTAGTAAGACGGTCAGGGTGGCCTCTTGTCTGAGGCATTTTAGCAGCATCAGCAGGAAAAAGGAAGCTGTCTGTGTGCAAAAGACGCCAAAACAGCAGTGGCCAGCACTCATGTGTTCCCCCTCCCCAGCCCCACCCCATCAGCCCATCTGATGGCAGAAACAGCGACTCTTCCTGCATTCCCACGCCCTCCTTTCTCCCCACCCCTGCCCCCAATTCTGAATCCAGCTGGGATGCAAGGATGAAGTGGCCCCAGCAGCTTGACATGCCAGCCCACCCTAAGTGGCCCACATAACTGGGTACTAGGTGCCCACACTGTGCTGAGGGCAGTCCTTATAACCAGGACATCCTGAGGCAGCTAGGATTATAATGCCCATCTCACAGTGGGGAGGGGCAGGCAACTAGAAAGTGGTGGCGTGGAGATCAGGCTCAGGCAGCCTGGTTTGGGAGCCCACATTCCTCTGCCTCCAGACCTGTAAGCAGGCGGGATAACACACAAGGAATACGCTCCAAACAAGCATTTTAGCCCCACACTGCAATTGGCCTGGGTGGCAGGTATCTATTCCAGGGCTGGCCACCATGGCCAAAGAGGGCACACTTGCCAAGGAGACCAGCTCTTAGGTCTCAGCTATCTGCTCCTGAGAGGCTATTGGAGTGGGTGACTGACAGAAGGAAAGTGTCAGGACCTAGAAAAGGGTATGGCCAGGATGGTCACTACCCTCAGCTAAGTGTGTGTATTGGAAGGTGTGGGAGGGCAGGGACTGAACTAAGTCTAGAAATGGAGTCTCTACAACATATCCAAGTGTTTACTTTAGAAATTAGTTTTTGATTAAAGATGTAAAATACTCCAACCCATTGAGATCACTCATATCAGAGATTAAGCGTTGAGACTTCCTAGAAATATGGCTCTGTAGAACTTCTCTATAAAGCCTCTCTAACCTATTCCAGCTCACAGAGCTCTTTTCCCCTTCTCTGAATTTTCATTGCAATTGAATCCTAACCATAAGATCTGCCTACATGGCTTTTTCTCCAGTTAGAAAACTCATCAAGGGTTCAGACCATGGACAAACTTTCCTCTAAAAGAGTTTAAAAAGTGTGAGTTGGCAAGTTGAGGTAGAAGTAAACATGGACCCTCTTCCATGAAGCCGGAATAATCTTCCTATCAGCGGCTGGGAGAAGCCGGCACAATGCAGAGTGCTGGAGAGGGATCAGGAGACCTGCACTCCACTCAGGGCTGTACCCCGGGCAGGTCAGTTGCCTGGCTCCACGGTTCCTTATCTGTTCTAGGAAAATGTTAATACTGGCCAGCTTACCTCATGGATTTGTCATGAGGCTCAAATCAGATAATATAGGTGAAAGTGCTCCTGTAATGTAAAGAACCCTACCAATGAAAATACTGTGCCTCCAAGGAACTACTTAAGTTTCTTCTATTTTTAAACCAGATAATTGTATGCAGAATCCATTCATCCAAAACTCACCTGTAGGGAATTGAAAGAAAAGTAATGGGGGCAAAAAAAAAGAGGGGGGATAAAGAAGAATCAGAGACGTGTGGACCACCAGGGAGGCTAACAGAGGCTGTCCTGAGAACAGTGCTTGCATGACACTTACATAAGCAGATGGCAGCCAGGAGTCGAAGGCCAGACTCTGGGGGGAAGCAGGTGGGGAAGAGCGGCTGCAGCACGTAGTTGGAGAACGTGAGGGCGATGACAGCCTGGTTGGTGGGGTAGATCACCAGCACTGCGATCCACAGCCTCAGGAACCTGAAGGGGGAACAGGACACCCCCACTGGCAGGCATGGCAGGGTTTCCGAGTCATCAGGGGAAAGCCCGGGCAAGTTGGGCACGTAGGTAGGCGGCCAGGCGTTAGAGAGGCAGCAATGCATTTCCTTTTTTGTTTTCAGGGATGCTAACGAGCCCAGCCCCCACTCTCAGCCCTCCGCAATGACCATAAAATGGTTTAATGCTGAAGAGCTAAGTTTCAACTAGCACTAACACAAGTTTTGGCATCCTTTCTCTCTTCCCTCTCCTTTTGTCAACTCTTCTCTACCGCTCTGGTTCCCAGCATCCAATGGTGGAAATACAAAATTTGCAACCCCAGAATTGTGATAGTCAGGTGTGGCTACTTAAGCAACTGCCAGGGAAGGCAACCAGTGGGGGTTTGCAGGGATAGCACCTTCCACACCCTTTGGCCCTTTGGTGAGGGTTGAGCTATTCCGTGGCAGGGTTTCAGAAGCTGAGAAATTTAAGATCAAGGACTGACTCTAAAAGGAGGTCATTATCCTTGGTAATGGGAGAAGAGGGTACACTGTATCTTAGGTGGTCGCTCTAATTTGTCAAGATAGAAGGGCTTTGTTTTTGTGAAGTGCTTTCTCTGGGAGTCTATGGTCAGTGTTGTTACATAGTTCTGTTTGCTGACACTCATAGAATCTCTCCCACCAAGGTCAACATAGAGATTAAAATTACAAACCTGGTTCCTCTGTCACTCTCAGAAACATCAAGGGAACACAAGGCTAAACTAGCAACCACGACATGGAAGCAAAAGAGAAATCCCATTCTCTAGTCCCCCTTGGTATACTGGAGACTGGAAACCCCTGGCCTCGGCTTCCTCCAATCTGACCTCTTTCTATACCATCTTCCTCCTTTTCCCCAAGATCACTCAGGCTTTGGCAGATCCTCTTACCCAGCCAGTCCTCCGAAGATGTCCTTGACATAGGAGTAGTCACCTCCAGATTTGGGGATGGTGACCCCGAGCTCAGCGTAGCAGAGGGCTCCCACAGCTGTGATGAGACCTGTCACGATCCAGACAATGAGGGCGAGTCCTACAGAGCCGGCATTCTCCAGCACACCCTTGGGCGACACAAAGATTCCGGAACCGATGATGTTACCTGAACAAAGCACCAAGGATAAGGAGAGGAGACAGCAGAGTCAGGACAGCCAGCAGGATTGACATTTGCAGGTGGTCTCACCTCTGGTCTGATTCTAAAACATCTCTGGGATGTGTAAATGATCTTCAGGAAGGCATGCCTAGCAATAATTCTCCCTAAAGTCAGGGTAAAGAGGACCAGAGAACTGACACATATTAACCAGGAACTTGGTTAGGTACTTTGCACATCTCGTTTAATCTTTAGGACAGCCCTATGGAGTCAGATATCATTTCTCACATTTTACAGAGGAGAAAACTAAGTCTTGGAGATACCAAATGAAGTTGCCTACATCCACACAGTAGTAAGTTATGGCACAAGTATCGAATCTCAGGACCCTCTAACTCAGCTATGTATGGTCCAACCCAGGTTACAAGGACCTCAGGATTGGCTGAAAGTGGCAGGGCTGGAAAAGTGGGCTGTTCTCAGCAACCGTCTGCCAGCTAGGTTGGCTTTAAAAATGAGCAAAAGGGCAATATCTTTTGGACAGATTGTGGTCACACCCCGTGACGGGGGTTCTCAAGACCTGTGAATGTGGACAGCATTCGTGGAGGCTGCCTTCTACCCCAGACATGACAGCCCCACCCTTGGTGAAGAACATGAAATAACCCCATAAAAACAGTCCTGGTTGTTTGGAGGTGGTGTGTAGAACTACGCAGTACGTGCAAAGCCTCAGCACCTCTTTCAAAGGTCATTGTCCCCCAGTGTTTCATGTGACCCTCACAACAACCTATGGAATTCAGGGAGAGGGGGAAGGGCAGGTATTTCTCTCTCTATTTTACAAACAAAGAGACTAAGACACAGAGGGGTTAAGTGGCTTTCTCCAAATTCCACAGTTACTGATGGGTAAAATTGGATCCAGAAGTCAGTCTCCTGATGCTTAACCCAGTGCTCCTTCGCTAATCCACTTCTGCTTGTGTGTGCAAGGGCTGGCTTTCTCCTGAGAGCAGACGCCCGCAGCCAGTACTGAATGGTTGTCTACTGGGCTGTGTGTGTTGGGCAGGGGAGCAGTAGGAGTGGGGGCATTCCTGACATGCTTCCTCTCAAGTTTTCCTTTGTCCATTTCTTGTGATTAAAGGTGGTAGTCAGCGTCCACGGGGTGGGTGCTTGGAAAGCCCTCCCTTCATACCCTGCCCAGCTGCACCCCTCAATGCCTGAGGGAAGAAGCAGAGACTAAATGGATCCAGATGGAAAGGCAGAGCTGGAGTAGAGCTCAGGTCGGTTGGATTTGACAGTGTTCTGAGAGCATCTCAAATTCCCACCGGCGCTCTACAGTGGTCTGGAACCACTGAGATGGAGATTGTAAGGTTCTATGCTCAACTCTCAAGAGCTGACTTTCAGATCTCAACCATGAGTCAACATCAATCCAGTCCTGAACTTCTGTTTCTAAACCAAAATTCTGTTGTTTTTTTTGAGACAGAGTCTCAAAAAATCCTGTATTATGCTAGGGCTCAGGCCACATTCACCCTGTACAGTGACTCTTCACCTGCCAAAACGAAATGTGTGGCTCTTCCCTGGAAGATACCAAGTGCTGGGAAATGAGAGAACTAGGGACAAGCTTGCTAATACTGTTGAAAGATGATAGTAAATTCCTTGCCTAGCAAGAATTTATCAAAAGGGTGATCTATAGGGCATTTCAAAGCCAGCCAAGAAGTGAGCAATAGTACTAGAGTTATAAAACCAGCTCAAGGGGTTAGAAAAACAATCACTACGGGGAGAAAAACAAGGTTTGACTTTGGTCCTTAAGGCACTGAAAAGGGAGGGGTGTATAGCCAGGCATTTCTTAGATACAACAATGGCTGTGCAAGGGGAAATGTGGGGAGCGGGTGTTATTTGAAAGATTTGATCTTTTCAGGAATGAAGAATGTCAATGTTCCACTAAGGGTTCTTGGAAAACAAACACTGCAATAAGATCAGCAAATTGAGATCAGTAAGTGCTTCTCTTATGTTTTTGCTCTGACATTTCCATGGTGTGTGTGCTCTTTCCCTGGTTCTGGGTCACAGGAGCCACTGGAGGATGGGATGTGCAACACTAACTGCCCTCTGAAGGGTCTGACCCTTTGCTGCCTCCACTTATTCTTGGAGGCTCCGCGACCTTCCGGGAAGCTGCCAGAGTGATTGTGACGGTTATAGTAGATTGGCATTGGGACAAGAGTCCTCACTTTATAAAAACTGGATTCTTACCCTCCAAAAATCTTAACTTTGACCAAATTAAAATTATAAAGATAAAAGCTAAAAAAAAAAAAAAAATTGAACTACGCTAGCCTACACTGAGTGCTAGGGAACAGAGAAAGAGAGGAGTCTCTCTCTGATTCTTAGGAAACCACTACTTAGAAAACTAGAATCTGAGGCTGGGTGTGGTGGCTCACGCCTGTAATCCTAGATCTCTGGGAGGCCCAGGCGGGCAGATTGCTCGAGGTCAGGAGTTGGAAACTAGCCTGAGCAAGAGCAAGACCCTGTCTCCAACTAATATATATAGAAAAATTAGCCGGGCATGGTGGCGCATGTCTGTAGTCCTAGCTACTCGGGAGGCTGAGGCAGCAGGATCGCTTGAGCCCAGGAGTTTGAGGTTGCTGTGAGCTAGGCTAACGCCATGGGACTCACTCTAGCCTAGGCAACAAAACGAGACTCTGTCTCAAAAAAAAAAAGAAAACTAGAATCTGAGATATTTCCTCTACCATGGCAGCCTCTGGGACTTCTACAGGGAGAGGAACGTCACTCACAGCAGCGCCATGTTCTGGAGCTGAAAGAAAAGTTACATTACATTTACTATCCACAATCTTTAGTGTGATTATTTAATAAGTATTTATGTCCCCCACTAGACTGTAAATGCTATGAGAGCAGAAACTTTGCTGGTTTCCCTCATCTGTGAAGGGTCATCTAGCACTGCTGTCCCCAACCCCCAGGGCTGCAGACCAGTACTGGTCAGTGGCCTGTTAGGAACCCGGCTGCGCAGCAGGTGGTGAGCAGCTAGTGAGGTTTCATCTGTATTTACAGCTGCTCCCTATCACTTGCATCACTGCCTGAGCTCCGCCTCCTGTCAGATCAGCGGCGGCATTAGATTCTCATAGGAGCGTGAACCCTTCTGTAAACTGTGCATGTGAGGGATCTAGGTTGCACACTCATATAAGAATCTAATGCCCTCTGGTCTGTGGAAAAATTGTCTTCCATGAAACTTCCATTGTCTTTTTGGTCCCTGGTGCCAAAAAGGTTGGGGACCACTGATCCAGTAGACATCCCATAAATGCTTAATGAATACATAATGTCTGACACCATTTATAGCATCTCCACACGGGAATTTAATATACCTATTTCTTTGGAACCTCCAAATCCTGTGAGGATGTTGAATGTGTATTGTAGGCAAATGAGTGAAGCAACCCACTTATTTCACTGCTGAGTAGAGTAGATTAACTATGATTACTATCTCCAATTTATAGGGGAAGAAAGTAGGGCAACTATTATTCTCACTTTCCAAATGGGGGAAATGAGGGAGGTATTATTATCCCTATTTTATGGAGGAAGAGACAGACCCAAAGAGGTACTTATTTGCTTAAAGCACAGGGTAAATTAGAAATAGCTGGATTGGAACCTAAATCTTCTGTCAGAGCCTCAAGCTTTTCCCTGAAAATGAAAGGTTGTCCTACATACAGTGGGGTCAGTCTCATCTGCTCCACTCCATAGGCAATGAGAATGGGTGACAGAAGACATTTACTAAAGCATCAGAACACAGATCTGACCCCTTCCTTCTATTGCAGCAGCACCTTCAGCAGTGATTTACAAAACATTCACATCCCTCACCTTACTGGATTCTCTTAACTTCTTTCTTAGGTGTTCGGGGCAGGTACCATCATTCCTATTTTACCTTTGTGAAAACTGAGGCTCAGAGAGGTGAAGGGACTTGATGGGAGTCATGTACTGCTTAAGCAGCAATGCCAGGATAAGAGGCTGAGGCCTTAGACTCCAGGCCCAAGGTTTCCTCCACCATTCCATGCCGCCTCACCTCTGGAAATTGCACAGCAGATACTTTAACTGCAGGCTTTTAAACTTGGACATTGTCCAAATGAGACTTTTTTGGAGCAGCTTTGTAAAGGAACTGGGAAAGATCTTTTCTATCTTGACGATGAAGAGTTTCTGATGAGACGTAGGAAGAAAGCTGATTATTGTGGAGATATTTCTCTCCATTGTCTCTAAAGCCATTTAAGAATGAGATGCATACCTGTTGGGCATTGCCCAGGTACTTGAGGTCAGGATTTTAGCCCTACTTCTATTCACCCCAATTAATAAAGTAATCATCTTATCGCATAGATCTTCCTTAGTGAAAAATGGATTCTAGGATGCCTGGACAATGAGGCCCAGGTTGGCTTGTTCTGTCAAAGAAAAGCCAAGCAAACCATTCATTCCATTAAAAAGGGGCCAAAGCCTATCAGCAGGCAAGTCTTCACTAGAAAAATTGCTGGAATTGAGAAAAATCCACGTTTGTCATGGATAATCACTAACTTCCCCATCTGCAGGCCAATACGCATGTGACTCCCATTAAGTTATTACTCACATCCAGGCCTGTCCACACTAGAATGCTGTAGCCATCAAAGAATTTCCTGGGGCATGGAATTACAGACTTCCAGAGCCCAATGGAACCTCAGATCCAAAAGGCTATGGCCTTCCTTCCTTACTCATGCTAGTCTTGAAATCTAGCCACAACTTCCTCCTGAGGCTTGGAAGTTCTGGCCATTTCCATGATATCCCGGGAAAGTTAAGGTGAAGCTGCTGTGTGCTCCTTCCATAAATGTTTGGGAGGATCTCAGAGCTTTTCAGGACTGGGGGAAGAGCAGGGTCTGGCATGCTGGGGCCAGGCTATGAGCTTCTCACCAGGCATAGAAGTACATCATACCTCTTACCATGCACACAAGTACAAATAGCTACCTGGGTGCAAGCAGGTCGTGACTCCAACACATGCCCTGAGCAGTTGCTAGCTCCTGCAGAACAGATGTGGAAGGTGCTGCAGCACTCTGCTGTTCTGGGTTCCTTACTGAAAAAGTGAAAAGAGCACTAGACTTAAGAGTTGGAGGAGCCACTGAGTCCTGGTTTTGCTACTCACAAGCCATGTGGCCTGAATTTTTCTGAGAATTACTTCCTTTGTCTGCAGAATGGAAATATTTGTTCCTGCCCTTCCTACCTCTCAAGGTTGTTGTGGAGATCAAGGGAGAGCACATATATGTGAGGTACTTTATAATTTGTGAAATGCTAACAGATATAAGCAATTACTAGGATTTGTAGCAGGAGAGACAGAGACCAGTTCTAGAAGAATCTAGCCAGCTTCCTTTGGAGGCTTGGCTCCAAAACAGTGCTGTATAGCCAGGACCATGAAGCATTCTCTGAGTCATTTGTCTGGTTGTCTAGGTATAATTTTTAGATGCTGCAGGTGGGTGGGCAGCAGGTAATTGCACCTCAAAAAGTATTTATTGAGCGCCCACTCTGTACATGCTTGCTTTGGAAGGTAATTGAGAAGCACTTGTTCACACATGGGCTCTTAATGAAATAGATGGAGCCAACCACCCACTCACCAGCCACTGACAGACAGGCATTGTAGCCTGAGGGGCCAAGAGTGCTGAGCCTTCATTAAGGACTTACCTCTTACTTCCAGCATGCCCCTGCCAGACTGGGAATCCAGGCACCTACAGTGAGAAGCTTTGTCTTCCTCAGTGGTTTTCAACTGGGGACAATTTTGCCCCCCACCTTAAGGGGTCAATTGGCCATGCCAGGGGACACTTTGGTTGTCACACAGGGCTGGCTGGAGGTGCATCTGGCATCTAGTGTGTAGAGGCCAGGAATGCTGCTAAACATCCTACAATGAGCAGGACAACAACACAGAACTATCTGGCCCAAAAGGGAACAGTGCTGAGATTGAGAAACCCTGTCATACTTTCAAGCTTCAATGCCATCATTTTGTTCAACCCTAATCCCTTTCAGATTTCAACCTGCAATTTATTTATTTATTTTTTCAGCTAAGCACAAACATGTATTGTTCATGGGAATAACACTTTTTTTTTTTTTTTTTGAGACAGTGTCTTGCTCTGTTGCCTGGGCTAGAGTGTCGTGGCGTCAGCCTAGCTCACAGCAACCTCAAACTCCTGGGCTCAAAGCAATCCTACTGCCTCAGCCTCCCAAGTAGCTGGGACTACAGTCATGTGCCACCATGCCCAGCTAATTTTTTCTATATATTTTTAGTTGTCCAGCTAATTTCTTTCTATTTTTAGTAGAGATGTGGTCTCACTCTTGCTCAGGCTGGTCTTGAACACCTGCCCTTGAGTAATCCTCCCACCTCGGCCTCTCAGAGTACTAGAATTACAGGTGTGAGCCACTGCGCCCGGACTGTTCATGGGAATAACTCATTTTTAAACTAAAAAACAATTTTGTATTGTGGTAAAAACACATAACCAAATTTACCCTCTTAATCATTTTTAAGTCTACAGTTTAGTAAAGTATGTTGATATTGTTGTGAAACAATCTCTAAAGGACGATTTGTTTTTGACTGATTGCTATTATTCCATAAATTCTTTTATTTTTTTGAAAAAGGGTCTCGCTCTATTGTCTGAGCTAGAGTATAGTAGTGTCATCATAGCGAACCGCAACCTCAAATTCCTGGGCTAAAGTGATTCTCCTACCTCAGCCTCCCCAGAATCTGGGACTGCAGGCATGTGCCACCATGCCTGGCTAATTTTTCTACTCTTTGTAGAGATGGAGTCTTACTTTGTTGCTCAGGATGGTCTCAAACTTCTGGCCTCAAGCAATCCTTCCAACTTGATCTCCCAAAGTGCTGGGATTAGAGGTGTGAGCCACCGTGCCTGGCCCCACAAATACTTTGTAGGCATTTACCATGTGTTAGGCTATAGGAGGTGAAAGTAAGTAAGACTCAGTCCCTGCTCTCAAGGAACCATGTGGAAAAGTGAAGATGTGTGTGCAGACACAGAAATGACACCACCAGGTAGAGCAGAAGTTGCATGAGTGCTACTGCAATATATGACAAGATATTAGAGTGGAAAAGGTCACTGGCATGGGCTGTTCAGAAAGGGCTTCCTGGAAGAGGGAAGCACAAGCAGATGCTGATGGGTACGTAAGCCTAATTTAACAGGGAGGACAGGAAAAGCAATTGGCTGGCCGCTAAGCAGATCAGGCTTGGGCTGAATGGTCAGTTCTTCTCATCACCCTATCAGTCCAATCTAAATTTCTGAACCAGGAAAAGGAGCTGCGCCCGGCAAGATGGCGCCATCCGCATTGCTGCATCCCTTCTCACGGCTGCTGGCCCTAGCCAGGCCCCCAAGCGGCTCTTCAGCATGGTCAAAGTTCTACGTGTGGGACCTGCCGAACGACAAAACTGACTGGCTGAAAGTTGGGTTGACTGTGGGCACCACTGTATTTATGTGGGTCTACCTCATCAAACAACATAATGAAGATGTTTTGGAGTATAAAAGAAGAAATGGGTTGGAATAGCTTTTTTTTTTTTTTTTGAGACAGAGTCTCACTTTGTTGCCCAGGCTAGAGTGAGTGCCGTGGCTCACAGCAACCTCAAACTCCTGGGCTCAAGCAATCCTACTGCCTCAGCCTCCCAAGTAGCTGGGACTACAGGCATGTGCCACCATGCCCAGCTAATTTTTTCTATATATTTTTAGTTGTCCAGCTAATTTCTTTCTATTTTTAGTAGAGACGGGGTCTCACTCTTGCTCAGGGTGGTTTCGAACTCCTGACCTTGAGCAATCCGCCCGCCTCAGCCTCCCAGAGTGCTAGGATTACAGGCGTGAGCCACCGCACCCGGCCTGGAATAAGCTTTTGACATACTAATATAGTATGCTCCGTATAATGATTAGAGCAATTCCTCTGGATTCACTCGTCTGTTGAGTTGTAAATGTGAAAGAAAAAGTTACATGTGAATATATGTTAAGTCAGCATTTGTGTTTTGCATCATTAAATTAAAAAAAAATAAAACTACTGTATTCTTCAGAAAATAAATAAATACATTTCTGAACCAGAATTACTGAGTGTGTGGGTTGGGAGTGGGAGGGGAAGTGGGGGGGGAATGGAGGATGAGCTCAAGAAGAGAAAGAAATCATCTTTATGGAACATAGACCATAGGGTAGGGCTTTGTTTTATTTATTTATTTTTTTCAAGACATAGTCTTACACTGTCACCCAGGCTAGACTGCAGTGGCATCAACATAGCTCACTGCAATCTCAAACTCCTGAGCTCAAGCAATCCTCTTGCCTCTGTCTTCCAAGTAGCTGGGACTATAGGAGTCACCAACATGCCAGGCTAATTTTTCTATTTTTTTTTTGTAGAGACAGGTCTTCCTTTTGCTTGGGCAGGTCTAGATTTCCTGAACTCATGTGATCCTCCTACCTTGGTCTTTCAAAGTGCTAGGATTACAGGTGTGAGCTACCTGCCAGGCCACTTTGTTTTAATACTTCACAGGAAATTTCTATTTTACAGCTAAGTAAACTGATCATTAACTTGTTCAAGGTTACAAAGATTGTAAACGGAGAAGCAGTTTACTAAGCCTACTAAGCAGTTTACTAAGCCTAAGACTATCTCTAAAGCCCATCCTCTTCTGCTATGTCATGGATGTTTCCTCCATTTCTACAACACATTGACGCAAGTCATGGAGAAACCCATGTTAAGCTTTCTACTTCTAGCATCAGGGCCAGATGCCTACTTAAGGCAACCTGACTTGCATATATCAGCTGCCTACTAAACATCTTATGCAGAACTGTACTCTAAAGAAGCAGCTAAAGTATTTATACATTTCATAGACATACAAATATGCACTTTTAAAAAATGTATATATATATATGAAGTTTCTCTGAATCTGCTGTGATTCTGAGGGTTGCCCAATTTAAAAATATATATATATACATAGATGAGAAAAGAACACTAATAATTCTGCAGCAGTGATACTCTCTGAGCAATATGCCTTCATGACGTGCAGCTCAGCGTGAGGTTGCCTGGTACATCTTCAGACATATTGTGAAACCTTCTCCCCAGAAGTGACGTCATTGCTAACGCTGAGGATATTTAAAGCAGGGAGCAAACCAATAGGAAGACTGACTGTGACAAAGGACGAGGGATGAGATGTGATGGATAAAGCTTTTCAGCTCAAACTTCACTCATTCTATAAATAAAGCAGCTTAAAATAGATGTGAGGGATTATTTTGCTTCTTAGAAATAAAATTCACCAGTGCTCAACACAGGGCCTAGCAGATAATATGCTCAGTGAGTGCTGGTTAGAATATGGAACAATCCCGAATCCTATAACCAGTATCCCTCATCCCTGTCCCAGGGAGTAGCCTGTAGCTTGCCATTTTCCAGTCTCCAGGGAGAAGGGACTCAGGGGCCTCCTCTATAGGGGAGGGGAACAAGGCATTGTCCTTCTTATTCTGTAGGTTCACCAGTGAGTTAAAAATTGGAAAGGAATAATTTCTAGCCTCCTGGGTTCCTGAAATGGCTCTTGTTTTCTGTAGTTCAGAATATACTCCTGGGATCACTTGCTCATGTTGCTTTTCTAAATCCAGCCCCTCTCCCACAAGAACAACAACACAACAACAGCAACAACAGAAATTCCTAAGGCATTTCTTTGTAGGCAGCCATAATGCTAGATTATCGCTCAAAAAAAAGCAGAAAACCTTGGTAGCCTGGCAACTTGAGAAGTCTCCACCACTACTATGCACCTCTACCCCATTTCAGTAAGCTGATCTAATTCAGAAAAGTTGTATATATGGTACTGGCCCCTCTAAGAAGGTCATAGGATTTGGATACAGGGTGTTTTTTCTGTTTTTTGTTTTTTTTGAGGCAGAGTCTCACTCTGTTGCCTGGGCTAGAGTGCCATGGCGTCAGCCTAGCTCACAGCAACCTCAAACACCTGGACTCAAGCAATCCTCCTGCCTCAGCCTCCCGAGTAGCTGGGACTATAGGCATGTGCCACCATGCCCGGCTAATTTTATATATATATACTTTTAGTTGTCCAGCTAATTTCTTTCTTTTTTTTTTTTTTTTTTAGTAGAGACAGGGTCTCGCTCTTGCTCAGGCTGGTCTCAAACTCCTGAGCTCAAACAATCCACCTGCCTCGGCCTCCCAGAGTGTTAGGATTACAGGTGTGAGCCACCACATCCGGCCTGGACACAGTTTTTACCTGCTGGGTTTCTATTTTCTTTCCCTGACTCCAAGTGTCTCCTGCTAGTCACTCATTCTGCATAACTCTGCTCTTTGAAGGAACATACTGTAGCCCTGACAATAACAGATTCAACCAAATTGCTCCTTGAGCCCTCTGGTTCCTGGAGGCAGGACGCATGCAACAGGATCCCTGGTCCCAGCCACCTTGCGCTCCATGCTATGGAGCATTTTATTAAGCCCAGTTGCTTCAGACTTCAATGACCTTGGGGGGAATCTGGACCCTACAAGTTACTTACCTATTTTAACCTTTCATTTCTATAACAGTGGCTATTGCATGGGATTAGATGAGAATATTCATAAAGTACTGATCAGGTACCCTGTACCCAGTGCATTCTAAGTGCTCTGTAAGTGGTAGCTACTTATTATTATTACACTGACAAGTATACCCTTTCCCTACTCACCAAGATATGTTTGTTTTGAAATAATTCCTAGCTGGCTTCCGTCCCAGAGTTTTCTTTGAGAACAATGAGAGTTTTAATCATGTTTTCGTCCTGAATGAACCAAATCCTAATCCCTCCATGTTTTGTGTATGTGTTTAATTGAAATACACATGCAAGGAGTAGTTTTCAAACTCTCTCTGGTCGACATCCAATAAACATTTTTGGTATTAGAAGCTAATACATCATATTAGAGACTAAAATGTAAGATCTTCTAAAGTGGTATGGACCACATGGGTCTTAAATGTTTTGGACTTAAAACATTCCTAAGTATTTCCAGTGCCATTTTGGTACAGTTATTCCTATAGCTACATTTCTCTGTTGACAAATATCCTTTAAAAAATGTTTTTTACCAACTTTTTCTGCAGCAGACATCCACTGTCTTTCTAGACTCCAATCTTTGCGTTTTCTTTCTCCATGACCTTAAGATTCTCGCATATACATCAGCCTTCCTCCCTCCTCTCTTGGTTACTAATTAGAAATGTGGAATCATTAAGCATTTTGGCTATGGAGTCAGATTCATCTCAGTTATCAACTGTGTGATTCTGGAAAAATTACCTGCCAGCTCTGTGACTCAATTTCCCCACGTTTAAAATAGAAATAATTAAATATCTACTTTTATAGAATTTTTGCCAGGATTAAATATGTAAAGAGTATACAGCACAGGAACAGACATTTAGTAAGAGCACAATAAATACTATTTTTAAAAAAATCTGTGTTAGTTGAGAGATAGTGGTCTAGTAGCTAGACTTACAGCCAGTGTTGTTCTACAGCAAACATACCAAGTTCCCCCATGAACATACATTACATACCAAGTTCCCCCATAAACATACATTGTGCTAAAAACAAAATGGCCCGACAAATTCTTTCTTTTCTTTCTTTCTTTCTTTCTTTCTTTCTTTCTTTCTTTCTTTCTTTCTTTCTTTCTTTCTTCCTTTCTTCCTTTCTTCCTTTCTTCCTTTCTTCCTTTCTTCCTTTCTTTCCTTTCTTTCCTTTCTTTCCTTTCTTTCCTTTCTTTCCTTTCTTTCCTTTCTTTCCTTTCTTTCCTTTCTTTCCTTTCTTTCCTTTCTCTTTTCTCTAAGTCTCACTCTATTGCCCAGGCTAGCTAGAATGTCGTGGTCTTTCTTATTTTTTTAGAAACAAAGTTGTTGCCCAGGCTACAGGGCAGTGGCCCAATCATACCTCATTGTAACCTCAAATTCCTGGGCTCCAGTGATCCTCCTGCCTTAGCCTCCTGAGTAGACAGACTATAGGTGCGTGCCACCACATTTGGCTGATTTATTTTATTTTTTTGTAGAGATGAGGTCTTGCTATATTGCCCAGGCTGGTCTCAAACTCCCAGCATCAAGCTATCCTCCTGCCTCAGCCTCCCAAAATGCTGGCTTACAGTTGTAAACCACTGTGCCCAATTTAAACTTTTCTTTTAGGCTCTGAAGCCAGCTTATTTGCCTTCAAGACATAGATTCTGGTTACATACCTAAACATATGACTGGTATAAAGCCACCTAAACAGCTAGGAACTCTGTGGGTATCTCCCACATGACTGGGAAGAATGCTGGTCCATAAAAGAAAGGTGCGCACGTGGGGGAGTTAATGGGAACGTGGTCTGTGTTGGCTAGATGCACCTCAGGTTGGCCCCACATCTCCCTGCAGTTGCACCAGGAACATTACCTTCTTCCAATCCCAGCTGACTACCCAGCTCCCCCTGACACTGGGAATGCAACATTAATTGCTTCATCTACAAAAACCAATAAGGACCTCTGTCCAGGTTCTAAAGGAAAATACCCCTTTAGGAGATAAAAATGGAAATAGTAGAGAATAATGCTTAAGAGCT